GGGTTTAGGGCCTCCCGCTTTGCGCCCATGTTATTGGGGCGGCCTTTAGAAGGAATTTGGCACAGCGGCATTCAACTCAACCAACTCGAGTACTTCTACGGTAAACGCTCAACTAGGGTTTAGGGTTTACGAGGGTTTATGAGGGTTTATGAGGGTTTATTAGGGTTTATGAGGGTTTATGAGGGTTTATGAGGTTTTATGGGGGTTTATGAGGGTTTATGAGGGTTTATGAGGGTTTATGAGGGTTTATGAGGGTTTACAAGGGTTTATGAGGGTTTACGAGGGTTTACGAGGGTTTATGAGGGTTTATGAGGGTTTATGGGGGTTTATGAGGGTTTATGAGGGTTTATGAGGGTTTATGAGGGTTTATTAGGGTTTACAAGGGTTTATGAGGGTTTACGAGGGTTTTTGAGGGTTTATGAGGGTTTATGAGGATTTATGAGGGTTTATGAGGGTTTATGAGGGTTTATTAGGATTTATTAGGGTTTATGAGGGTTTATGAGGGTTTATGAGGGTTTATGAGGGTTTATGAAGGTTTATTAGGGTTTATTAGGGTTTAGGGTTTAGGGCTTTCGGTTTAGGGTTTAGGGTTTAGCGTGTCTAGGGTTTGTGTTTTAATGGGGTACTGCTTCAAAGGTCTGCTGCTGCTGCTTTTGCTGCTGCTGCTGTTGCTGCTGCTGCTGTTGCTATTGCTGCTACTCACGTTGCTGTTGCTAATATTTCTATAAATATTTGCTGCTGCTGGATGGCGTTGTTTTTTTTGCTGCATTATTGTTGCTAATGCTACTGCTACTGCTGCTGCTACAACAACAACAACTACTACTACTACTACTACTACTGCTGCTGCTGCTGCTGCTGCTGCTGCTGCTGCTGCTGCTGCAGGGGGAGGAGTGGTGTATATCTGCCTCCGAGTGAGATTGAGTCTCTTTACGGTATGACTCCAAAGAAGATCGAAGAATTAGGAGAGACAACAAAAACCCCTCAAGAAATACAAAGGTGCTGCTGCTGCTGCTGCTGCTGCTGCTGGTGCTGCTGCTGCTGCTGGTGCTGCTGCTGCTGCTGCTGATGCTGCTGATGCTGCTGCTGATGCTGCTGCTGATGCTGCTGATGCTGCTGCTGCTGATGCTGCTGATGCTGCTGATGCTGCTGCTGATGCTGCTGCTGATGGTGCTGCTGCTGCTGATGCTGCTGTTGCTGATGCTTGTGCTGCTGTTGCTGATGCTGCCTCTGTTGCTGCTGCTGTTGCTGTTTATGAGGGAAGTCTGCTTCGCCGGGTGTTGGTGGTATTTGGATCTGCTGCTGTTGCTGTTGCTGCTGCTGCTGCTGCTGCTGCTGCTGCTGCTGCAGTTTTCTTTCAAGTGTATCTCCGCGCTTTACAGCAGAGACATACGATTTGCTGCACAACAACTGCAATCATTTCACCCAAGGTAATTTTTGCTGCTGCTGCTGCTGCTGCTGCTGCTGGTGCTGGTTCTGCTGTTGGTGCTGCTGCTGGTGCTGCTGCTGCGGGTGGTGCTGCTGGTGTTGTTGTTGCTGCTGCTGCTGCTGGTGGCTTGAGTGGAGCTGGTAAAGCTGCTGCTGCTGGTGCTTCCCTGCTGCTGCTGCTGCTGCTGCTGCTGTTTCAGTGCTGCTGCTGCTTCTGCACGTGCCTCCCTTTTGCTGCTGCTGCAGCACATGCTTTCCTGCTGCTGCTGCTGTTGTTACACCTGCTTCCCTGCTGCTGCTGCTGCTGTTGCTGCTGCTGCTGCTGCTGCTGCAGAGTTTTGTCGCTTCTTACTGGGTAGGGATTTGCCTGCATATATAACGCAGCAGGTGCAGCAAATAGCAGAGACACCTGTGGGGCGTATGCTGCTGCCGATGCTGCAGCAGCAGCAGCAGCTGCAGCAGCAAGCAGCAATAGCAGCAGGACAGTCTACCCTATGGACTGCAGCACAATATCAGCAGCGTCAGCAGCAGCAGCAGCAGCAGCAGCCGCAGCAGCAGCAGCAGCAGCTTCCTGCAGCAACAACACCTTTTTCAGGTTTGCTGCGGGATGTCTGTACATCAGAGGAGTTGGTGAAGAGCAGCAAACTGCTGTTTCTGCTGACTTTACAAACAATTATTAAGAATATTAATAAGCCTTTAAAAGAAGTGCAGCAGAAGCATCTGCTGCTGCAGAGCAGCAACACAATACTACAGACAAAAGTGCTGCGAATAAGCAGAGGAAGAGAGGCGCTTAGCCTAATTGGGTTTAAACCTGTTGCTGCTGCTGCTGCTGCTGCTGCAGCAGGAGAAGCAGCAGGAGAAGCAGCAGGAGAAGCAGCAGCAAAAGGAGAAGGAGCAGCAGCAGGAGAAACAGCAGCAGCAGCAGCAGCAGCAACAACAGCAACAGCAGCAGCAGCAACAGAGGAGACATTCCGTTTTACTCTATACGACTCTGAAGATGAGCAGGTTGTGCAGCAGCAGCTGCAGCAAAAGCAGCAGGAACTCGCTGCTTTTATTGCTGCTCTGTCTCCTGCTGCAACAGCAGCTCCTGCTGCAGCAACGGCTCCTGCTGCAGCAGCAGCTCCTGCAGCAGCAGCAGTGCCTTTGGGCCTGCAGGGTCAGCAGCAGCAGCAGCAGCAATATCAGTTCCAGCTGCAGCAACTTGAGGCTATGGGCTTTACAGACAGACAAAGAAATATTGCGTGAGTGCTGCTGTTGCTGCTGCTCCTGATGCTAATTCTGCTGCTGCTGCTGCTGCTAGCCCTGCTGCTGCAGTTGCTGTGTTTGGCGCTGCCGCTAGTTCTGCTGCTGCTGCTGTGCTAGTTCTTTGTTGTTTTTACTGGTGGTGGTGATATAAATCCTGCTGCTGCTGCTGTTGCTGCTGCTGCTGCTGTTGCTGCTGCTGCTGCTTATTTCAGGGCATTGGAGGCGGCGAAGGGAAATCTAAATGCTGCAATTGATATACTAATAGGATAGGCTGCTTCCAGCAGCAACAGCAACTGCAGCAGCAGCAACTGCAGCAGCAGCAACTGCAGTAGCAGCAATTGCAGTAGCAGCAACTGCAGCAGCCGTAACTGCAGCAGGAGAAACTGCAGTAGCAGCAACGGCAGCAGCAGGGTGCACTAATGTGGGAAGAAGCAGCAGCAGCAGCAGCAGCAGCTATTGGTGCTGCTGCTGCTGCCTTGGCCTTTCTTGTATTATAACAGTTCAACAGCAGCAGGAACTGCAGCAGCAGGAACTGCAGCAGCAGGAACTGCAGCAGCAGGAACTGCAGCAGCACAGGTTTCTATGCACAAATGCGTTAATATGAAGCAGCAGCAGCAGCTGCTGCTGCTGCTGCCATTGCCTTTTTTGTATAACAGTTCAGCAGCAGCAGCGGCTGCTGCTGCTGTTGCTTTTCGTTGCACATGGATGCAGCAGCAGCAGCTGCAGCAGCAGCACATGGCGTTGCTGCTGCTCTCCTTGCAGCTGCTGCAGCAATAGCAGCATTAGCTGCAGCAGCTATTAGTGTAGCAGAAACAAATTTTTACTTGTATATCTTACTGCATGATGCTGCTGTTGCTGCAGCTGCAGTCTAGGATCTACTCTTTAACAGCAGCAATAGCAGCAAACAGCAGCAGCAGCAGCAGCAGCAGCAGCAGCAGCAGCAGCAACAGGAATAGACAATCGAATGCCATAGACGGAAAATGTTTGAGATAGTTTTGCTGCTGCTGCAGATTTGCAGCAGAGGCGGTAGCCAAGTAACTAGAAGCAGCAGCTACTGTTGCTGCTGCTGCTGCTGCTGGTGCTGCTGCTGCGAGTGGGGCTGTTGCTGCTGTTGCTGCTGCTGCGGCACCCGGCGCAGCATCTGTGTCTGAGAAGCATCTTGCTGCTGCTGCGGCTGCTGTTGCAATGTTTGCTGCTGCCGCTGCTGCGCCGTGTGCTGTTGCTGCAGCAGCTGTTGCTGCTGCAACTGCAGCAGCGGATGCAGCATCAGCTGCTGCTGCGCACCCCCAGCGAAAGCATTAGGCTGCAGCATGAGCCACGGCTGCTGCCGTAGCTGTTGCTGCTGCAGCAAGTGGAGCTGCTGCTGCTGCTGCTGTTCTTGCTGCGCTGCGGCTTCACTGCCTGCTGCTGCTATGTCTTGTTGGAGCCTCATTTGAAGCTGCTGCTTCTGCAGCAGCATCTGCTGCTGCTGCTGCAATTGCTGCTGCAGCAACAGGAGTTGCTGCTGCTGTAGCTGCTGACGTAGATTGAGCGGCAGCTGCTGCTGCGGCGCAGCAGCAGCAGCAGCGAATCTCTGCTGCTGCTGCGCAGCTGCTGCTGCACGTTGCTGCGGGTCGGGCGCTGCAGCAGTAGCAGCTGCAGCAGCTGCTGCTGCCGCAGCACGTTGCTGCTGCTCTGCTAGAGAGGGAAGAAAGGGCCCTAAGAAAGCCCCGCCGCCAGAAGCAGCAGCAGCAGCAGCTGCTGCCGCTGCCGCTGCTGCTGCGGGCTGCTGCATGAATGATGATGGTTGTTTCTGCAGCAGCGCTGTAGATTGCCTCCTAAGAGCAGCAGCAGCTGCAGCAGCAGCAGCAGCTGCTGCTGCTGCGTCAGAGCTGTCTGTCGCTCCTGCTGCTGTTGCTGCTGGCAGCTGCTGGAACAGCCCTCCGCTGCTGCTGCTGCTGCTGTTGTCGAGCCGCAGCCGTTTTGAAGAAAGCAAGTAGCTGCTGTTGCTGGCAGCAGCAGCAGCAGCAGCAGCAAGGGATGGGGGCGAGCTGCTGCTGCATGCAGCTTCTGCTGCTAAGTCAAAGTGGAAGCGGAGAGCAGCAGCAGCATCAGCAGCAATTTGTATTGCAGCAACAACATCAGCAGCTCCTGCTGCTGCTGCTGCTGCTTTCTTTAATTCGCAAGCCTTCCTCCAGGCTCCTTCAAATCCATACACCCCCACACTAAATGAATGTACAGTGCTGCTGCTGCTGCTGCTGCTGCTGCTGCTGCTGCTGCTTGGGGCGTCAGCTGCTGCGGCTGGTTCAGTAGAGCAGCTGCTTGCTGCAGTTGCTGCTGTTCCTTCTTCTTGCTTCTGCTGCTGTTGCTGCTGCTGCTGCTGTTGCTGCTGTGATTTCTGCTGCTGCGGCTGTTGCTGCTGCTGCTGCTGCTGCTGCTGCTGCTCCAGACGCACTGTCCATGCAGCAGCAGCAGAATCATACACGATTCCTTTCACCTTCGGCAGCTGCGCAGCAAGCCAGGTGAGGTGCATGTCTCTGTTTGCTGCTGCTGCTGCTGTTGCTGCTGCTGTTCCTGCTGATGATGTTGCTGCTGCTGGTGCTGCTGGGCCGCCGCCTCTCGACAGCTTCCTTTTCGTAGGAGTTTTTGCTGCTGTTGCTG